TTCCTTCCTTCCTTCCTTCCTTCCTTCCTTCCTTCCTTCCTTCCTTCTTTCCTTCTTTCCTTCTTTCTTCTCTTTCTTCTCTTTCTTCTGACACAGTCAGTCTCGCTCCATTGCCCAGGCTGGAGTACAGTGGCATGATCTCAGCACACTGCAGCCTCTGCCTCCCAGGTTCAGGCAATTCTTCTGCCTCAGCCACCCAGGTAGCTGGCACTACAGGCACGCACCACCATGCCCATCTTGTTTTTGTATTTTTACTAGAGATGGGGTTTCACCATCTTGGCCTGAAACTGATCTGAAACGCCTGACCTCAGGTGATTCGCCTACTTCTGCCTCCCAAAATGCTGGGATTACAGGCATGAGCCACTATGCCTCGCCTTTTTTTTTTTTTTTTTTTTTTCCAATTTGAGACTGGGGTCTCACTATGTTGCCAAACCTGGTCTCGAACTACTGGGCTTAAGCGATTCACCTGATGAAGTCTCCTAAAGTGCTGGGATTACAGGGGTAAGCCACCATTCCCGGCCAGATTCTGCATTTCTGCAAGCTCCCACTGATGCTGCGGATCTGTGGACCACAGTTTGAATAGCAAGCATCCATCCAAGAGTGGAGTTGCTGGATGTTGAGGTCTGCACCTGTTTAGCTCTCCTGTTAATACCAAACTATTTTCTGAAGCTAATACCAAACTATTTTCTGTACACCAGCCATGAGACTGTTGCCTCTTGGGGAAAAAGGTCTCGAAAGGCTTCAAATCGAATGCACACTCTTCAGTGCTCATCTCACTTGAGCTTTCTGCAGTCTGTGACATATTTGACCATACTGTTTGATCCACTGCTTTTCCCCTCGTTTCTATGACACCCCTGTATCCAGGCTCCCTTCCTGTAATTTCAGTCTGCTCTGTAAACCTTCACTTTTTTCCTTTGTTGACCTTTTCCTGTTGATCTCTTTGGCCTTCTTGGTCTTTATCTCATTCTTTCTGGGTGGTACCATGTGCTCTTTAGAGACTGGTTACCAGGCTGGGTGAGGTGGCTCATGCATGTAATCTCAGCACCTAGACTGAGGTGGGCAGATTACCTGAAGTCAAGAGTTCAAGACCAGCCTGGCCAACATGGTGACACCCTGTCTCTACTAAAAATACAAAAAATTAGCCAGGCGTGGTGTGTGTTCATGTAATCCCAGCGACTTGGGAGGCTGAGGCAGGAAAATCACTTGAACCCAGGAGGCGGAAGCTGCAGTGAGCTGAGATCGCACCACTACACTCCAGCCTGCATTACAGAACAAGGCTCTATCTCAAAAAAGAAACAAAAGAAAGAGACAGAGAGAGATTGGTTACCACATTGATGACTCTGTGATGGTTACGTGTCAGGCCAAGCACAGTGGCTCACGCCTGTAATCACAGCACTTTGGGAGGCCAAGGTAAGAGGATTACTTTAGCTCAGGAGTTCAAGACCACCCTGAGCTACATAGTGAAAATGCTGTTTCTACAAAAAAAAAAAAAAAAAAAAAATTATATGTCAACTTGGCAAGGCTATGGTACACAGTTGTCAAATATATATATGTATGTATTTATTTTTTATTTTAATGAGATAGATTCTCACTATGTTCTCCAGGCTAGACTCGAACTCCCAGCCTCAAGTGATCCTCCTGCCTCAGCCTCCTGAGTAGCTGGGACTACAAGCGTGCCACCAAGCCTGACTGTAGTCTGAATATTTTGGTGAAGGTATTTTGTAGATAACATTGGCATCCTGGCTGGGCACAGTGGCTCATGTCTGTAATCCCAGCACTTTGGGAGGCTGAGGTGGGCAGATCACTGGAGATCAGGAATTCACAACCAGCCTGGCCAACATGGTAAACCCCTGTCTCTACTAAAAATACAAAAATTAGTCAGGCATGATGGCAGGCGCCTATAATCCCAACTACTTGGGAGGCTGAGGCACAAGAATCATTTGAACCCAGGAGGCGGAGGTTGCAGTGAGCCAACACCATGTCATTGCACTCCAGCCTGGGCAACAAAAGCGAAACTCCATCTCAAAAAAACAAAACAAAACAAAAGCAATGACATCTATACTCAGTTGATGTTGAGTAAAGACGATTACTTTTTTTTCCTTTTGAGACGGAGTCTCGCTCTGTTGCCAGGCTGGAGTGCAGTGGTGCAATCTTGGCTCACTACAAACTCCAACTCCCTAGTTCAAGGGAATCTCCTGCCTCAGTCTCCTGAGTAGCTGGGATTACAGGTGTGCACCACCATGCCTAGCTAATTTTTGTATTTTTAGTAGAGATGGGGTTTCACCATGTGGGCCAGAATGGTCTTGATCTCCTGACCTTGTGATCTGCCTGCCTCGGTCTCCTAAAGTGTGGGGATTGTAGGCGAGATCCACTGTGCCCAGCCAGAAGATTACTCTTGATAATGTGGCCTGAGGAGCAAAGACAGGTTTCCCAGAGAAGGAATTCTGCCTCAAGACTGTCACATAGAAATCCTGCATGAGTTTCCAGCCTGCTGGCCTGCTGTTTGAATTTTGGACTTGACTTGCCTCCACAACTGCATGAGCCAGTCCTTAAAATCAATCTTGTTGTGTGCATGTATCCTGTTGGTTCTGTTTCTCTGGACAATCCTGACTGATGCAGACTCCCACATTCTACACCCAGCCAGAGCTGTCTCCTGTTTTCAGTCCGGAATTCTCATCTTCTCCAGGTGTTCTAAAGGTACTTAAGATGTGGTATGTCCTGGACAGAATTTGTTCTTTTTCTCTTCAAACTTGCTTCTCTTCCTACAGTCACAAGTAGCGGTGCCACCATCAATCCTATCACTCAAGCTAAACACTTGAGATTCAACATAGACTCCTTTCCCCCTTCAACCCTCCTATATACTTGGCCAGCAAATCCTTTACCCATCAATATAATAAACATATGAGTACATTATGTGCCAATACTGAGCTAGGGCTGGTGGCAAAAGGAGAGTAAGACACATTTCTGGCTGGGCGTGGTGGCTCACGCCTGTAATCCCAGCACTTTGGGAGGCCAAGGCAGGCGGATCACCTGAGGTTGGGAGTTCGAGACCAGCCTGGCTGGTCAACATGGTGAAACCCCATCTCTACTTAAAAAAAAAAAAGACACATTTCCTTCCCTCAAGAAGACTATAGTTAATGAACAAGCAATCATGGTGCAATGTGATAAGACACCCGGTGTTCCGAGGGTCCAGAGGAGGGCTCAGGGGCCCCGTGGTCACGCCTCAGCGTTAGTCCTGGCTTACCCCTCCCCATTTCTGTGCTTGCTTTTAGCCCCTGGTGTCTTGCCAGGACTCTAAATGTCTCTTAACTGGTCTTCCAGCCCCTACATACTGATTCCAGAATAATATTTCTGAAATGCAAATCAAATCATATCTCTTCTTTATCTAAAATTCCATATAGCAAATCGCCCTATAAGCTGTAAATGCTGGTTCCACTCTAGGGCATTGTGGCCTAGTGTTATTGTGGCCTCCCTTCCCTTTCCAACCCTGAAAGGTCCTGAACTCCTTGCAGTTCCCTTGGTGTGCTCTGGGGTTTCATTGTTCACTTGGATGCTTTCCTTGGATTGTATCTCTCCCTTGTCAGGCAAATACTCATCTTTTTTAT